GAAAATAAAAAATAATAATAAAAAAAGGGAGGGGATTATCCATGAAGTTCCAAGAAGTAAAACTGATCAAGGCTGAATGCTATGCCAAAGATGTCAAAAAAGCAAAGGAAGTTCTTTAAATCTTCTGCAGGCACAAATATAGCAGAATGAAGCAGGAAGACCTCACAACCCTGTTGTAAAGAGAAAAAAAAAAAAAAAAAAAAAAAAAAAAAAAGGCAGAAAATGAAAACGGAACAATGTGGTCCAGAAGAATATTTCAGTATTAAGAGTAACTTCTGAAAACATTAAGCAAAATTGAATGATTCATAAGAACTGAGAGTAGGAAGTGGAAAGATAGAAGGAAAGTTGCTTTTCATATTCGTATGGAACATCTTCTATATTCTTCTCTGTCAACACCATGTCTTGGTCTTACTGCTGCCCACTGAGAACAACAGGGTGATATAGGAAGCAAGTTGTTAAGAACAGGATTTTTAACTCAAAGTAGGACTATATTAAGACACAGGTGATCTGAATGATTTTGCAAGAAATGAATATTTATTTATTTTAGTCTTTGTGTCAATCACCTACCAGGAACATCTAAGCAATTTGACTCAATAGTAGAGTCTATTTCAACCAAGAAACTCAACCCTCTCACCCGAACTTTGTCTTTGTGTAATAGGTAATAAGGAATTATTTTTTCCTACAGAACTGATATTAGAAAGGACTGAAGCACATATTCAGGTTCCATGACCTGCCCAAGATGGTCATGTATGACATTTCATTAACACTAATACATGATGAAATAAGGAGAAACATCTGAGCAACATTCAGAACTGGTTCTGAAGCCAAAAACTGTAAGGTCAACTTAAGTCAGCATCATGTGCAAGACAGGCCTTATCAGACTGGGTATAGCGCCACAATAATCTGGTAATACTGTTTTTGGAAACAGCCTAATATCTGTTTCTTGCTGTACATTCCATTGCAAAACCAGTAGCCACATATATAAATTCAGCAAGACTTGAATGAATGGTTAAAGTTAAGCACCCACTTGGTGTAGCAGGTCAACTATTTCCAGGCAGGGTCTTCAAAGCTTACATACAAACATCCCAGCAAACACCAGGAGACTAAAATTTCATCAATAAATATGACCAAGCAACTAATACCGCTGCAGCAGTCTAACAGTCTAACCCTCTCTGTTATTTTCCACTTCTTTAATCAGTGTCTATAACAGTACAACAAATAGATCTGAACATCAAAGTTCATTATGATGTGGACTGCAAGGTACAAAATGGCCTGGAGGAAAGAGATTATGTTTTTTGAAGCCTACTTTTGGTACTACAGAGGAAACTAGAGATAACAAGGCATAATGAGAACAATTAGTGTATCATTATAATTTTATATTAAACATGAAGTAATCATCACTACAGAATGATTCTCAGTCTAATTGAAAAAATGTGACAGCTACCACCCAATTTTAACTTTTTTGTTTGTTTTTACATTTTGGGAGGCTTCCTTCACTGTAAAAGAACACTCAAATAATGTGAGATGTTTTATATCAGCTGGGCTGCTCATTAAGTTGAAGGCAGCACAGAGAAACACTTTTTGCTTTTCCCTCCCAAAAGTTGAAACACGTATACAGCCACTTCAGGATCCATAAACTATGTTAATCAATCCTGTCTATTTTTCCCTCAAGTGCTGACAAACTATAAGAGGCAATGCTCAGATCACTTTAAACATATTTGAAATACTAGTCATAACCAAAACTGCAGATGAACAAGCCCAGTAACAGATGATGCTAAGGCATCCAAAGTCCTCATTACGCCTCCGCCCCCCAAGGGGGTGGCAGCTGCCTGCCACACAGCAAGGCAGCCAGAAAAGACAGCACGTGCACGGTTGCTTGCAGGCAGTATCACTCCCTTCTACTCACTTGGCTCTCCCATGCTGTATTTTTGGTTTTTTGAGAGATGAGCCATGCACCGTGCTTTTGAGTATTTTTTCCACATTGTCAGTGATTGACAAGAACAGCCTGGAGAAATGTAAATTGCAGCAAGGCTGTGGGCTGCTTGCAAGGGGTAGGGGCTTTCTCACCTGAGGCAGAACACTACTTCTCTACCGGCACTGCCTGCAAAGTGCTTGTGAGGGGGTCAGAAGAAAGTGCTGGCGAGGTGCTTATCGCCCATTTCTTCACTGAGGATTAAAGACAGAGAAGGCGCTGATCAAGTTTGCCTTAAAGTCCCACAGCAGCAGAGGAGATCATTCTTACACGTACTGCAACACAGAGGACCTGAGTATAAACAATCGCTCAATTTCTGAAGCAATTCAGCCACATTAGTACACAAATGCACCTGTTCTAATATCTTGCCTCTCAAATGACCTTATTAGTACAGCACATCAGTTCAATGTTGTCGCAGAGGATCCAGCCACAGAGCGGCTTTCATCCTGCTGGGCCAGAATACAGATGGATCTGGAACAAAACACTCAGTTCCTTGCTTTCGCAAAGCCAGTCTTCACAGATTTCTACTTCTTTAGTGGTTCCCACACGGGGAGCTTTTGAAGGGATCTCTCTTTGCTTTTTTAGCCTAGGACAGAAGCTCTTGTTCAGAAGCTCTTTGCAGAAGAGAGGAAAAGCAGAACAATCAGAGAAAATGAACCCACCACTCAAAAATGATCAGAAGTAAGAAAATACTCATGAGGAGAAATGGCTGTGAGTTGACAAAAACAGAAATGAAGAGTGGCAGACTCTTCTTAGCAGCCTAAGAGGAAGAAAAACACTTCTCTACCGTTTGACTGAGCAGTCCATTGTCTCGTTGGTCTGAATAGCCTATTTATCACTAGCATTCATAAAACAAAACAAAACAAAAAAAAAGAGTCAAACAAAATAAATTGTTTTTCCTACGTCAACCTCATTTAATTACTGAAGAGTAGTTTGAATTGTTGATCTCCTAATGCTTTGGCAGGATTGGCAGCCAGTCTAGTCCAGTCAGGCTTGCCTGATTGTATGAGAAACAGAAAATAAAATTAGCATAGTCAAAGCCAGGGATAATCTAGGAAGTATTCACAATAATGAATAGAGTTGGGTGACAGGTCACTTTAGCTGGGAGCCTCCGATACCCAGCCTTGTTACAATGTGTGTGGGCTAGTAAATATTCAGAGGTACTTTTAACAGGATAGTTTAAGGAGATTTACAGTCAGCTCAGTCATGTCTTTATCACCACACTGACAGGCTGGCTTTGCTTTTGCATATCTTACAAGAAATGTAACGTCAGCTTATAAAGCAAGAAAACAGACAATCATATATAAATAAATCTGTTCATACGGAGAAGTGTATGATGAAAATAGCTTGCCTTGTGTCCTGGGAACATAACACCCAGTAGTCTAATTTCCAGACAACACTGCAACCAATCTTACTATTGGACAAAAACTATAATTTTTTTAAAAAAATATTTATTTTTTTTTTTTTTAGTCACAAACTGGCTCAAAGCAAGCAGAGAGCAATTAATACAGTCTGGGATATCTGGGGATCTCCACCAAGGACAAAAATGGAACAGACATTAACTACTTAAGCAAGTGCAAACACACTCTTTTCTTTCCAAGGAATGTCAACGTTTTAATCCAAGCTTTACATTGCCACTAAACTGGTAAATCTCACACCATCATATAATCATTCTGGTGTGCTCTCTCACTATTCAGTTACTTCATTTCTTGCCCTCCTGCACTAGTTTTAAAAAAAGTAAATGAAATGGGATGTGCTTGTTCAGTTAACAGAAAGTCACTGACTGCAACAATAATTTTACCTAAGGCAACAAATTATATGAAGAAGAGTTACAAAAGCAGACTGGCAATTGACAAGCTACTATAATGCTGCTTTGCAAGGCATCTTATCTGCCAAATCTACTTTTTTGCTCTCTATCAGCTCACAGTAACACCTGCATTTGCCTCTATCACAGCTTTTAGACTATGGCATGATAAAACTGTCTAACCAAAAAGCACATCTCTGTCAGCAGGTGACTTTGCATCATATAATGGGCTTCTGAGTAGAGAACTAGAAAAACTCAAGTGCAGTATGTTCAAGTGCTGTCAAATTTTTCTTTCACAGACAGGCAAAGCAATCAAGTGATCCTTTCTCACTTCTGACGAATTGTGAATAACGAAGGCTTACTTGATGCCTACACTGCACTCACAGGTGGTATTTTGACCATTCTCATATAAACTTGCTCATGTGCCAAGAGCAGTACAGCCAGGCACCACAGAGTTCAGGATCCCAGCTGGATCTGCTGAAACCACAGACCCACAGCTAAACATTGTTACTGATCCCTAAACTAGCCAGTTTACTGCCTGTTTGGATGTGCGTATACTAGCTGTATTCACGTTTCATTACAGCATAGATACAACCTTTGAGAGCAGCAGCTGGGCAATGTTACGAATATCTGACATTTATACATTAACAGGAAGGTATAAGTACTTGACAATAACTCTTTACAGTACTTGTATGCAGAAGGAACTACAGTAATTTCCTAGGCTGAATAATATGACCTCATTTCCTCATTTTTATTATGTAGTATTGACGTTATTTGCATCAGATGAAATAAAAAAACAGCAGCTCCCTGATGCTGTCCTTTTCTATTTCAGCTATTTTCTAGTCATAGAGAACAGAACATAAAGTGAACATATGAAAAACCTTCATTAGCATGACATATACCAGACTTCAAATGGAAAATTACCAGGGTGGGGTCTGTAATACTAATAATGCATTTTTAATTCCAAAATACAGAACTAAGATCAATGAAGAAGAAAGTATCCTTACCTTAGGGTCTCATTTTCTCCATGTTAATGCCAAACCTGTAATACCTAATCAAAACACATTTCTGCTTCTCCTCTTTTTTACTAATGTACATTCTACTGCAATTTAAAAGGACACTTCCTAAAGTATCTTCTCTAGATAAAGCTGATAAAATCAGACAATTCAAAGGCAAAGACAGATAGGAATAAATAAAGCATTCAGCATAAAGAGCAAAAATTACCTTTAGCAGGGTTTACTTTTATCCCTGACCTATACAGCATCTCCTCATTCTGCCAGTCCCCATTCCTGACAACCGTCTTGAGTCCATAGAAAACAATTAATGCAGCAGTGGAACAAAGAACCAAGTTCTTCAGAAAGCGCTTCTGGGCTTTGACATAAAGGGCCCTGACACCTACTGTAACCAGCAGGCAGAAGCCCATACTAGGAACATACAGCACACGCTCTGCTATTACAAAGCCAACATAGAAAAATAGGTTTGTGGCAGGAACAAAGGGCACTATTAACAAAGACAAAGACAGAATGACAATGTTCTCAGTTGAAGGAAGCTGCAATTTCTGCATTTCATGCTTTTTTATACCATTCTCTTCTTTTGATACAAAGGTTGACTTCACCTCCAGTGTCTTGTACTCCATCTCCGAGTGGTAGCTATGCCCATTAGTGTTCTGCTTGCCATTCATTACAGTTTTCCCATTGCATTCTCTCTCATTGCTGGAGCCCTTCAAGCTAAAGCAGGCAAGGAGGAGGAGTCCAGCATAGAAGGCCACAGTGTGTAGATTCCTCCAGTCGCTGACTGCTTTCAGAAGAGGCACGGCATCCATAGACCAGTCAAAGCTGAGGGTATCTGGGCACAGCAACAGCCAGATGTTCTTGGTTGGCAGGTAAAAGAAGGTCAGCGTACGTGTGAGCAAACTGTCTGAGTCAGCTGCTGGATTGTCAGAATTGGAAAAACTTGGGGGTTTGTTGCCCATCCAGTATAAGCGGACACCCAGCAGTGTAGTCCCCCAGGAGGTCAGTAAACCAATGCTGAAGAAGAGGGTCAAATTCTTTCTCTAAAAAAAAAAAAAAAAAAATCATCGTCAGCATAAATCAACACCAGCTGTTTAATTCTATAAATTACAAACAAAAGGAACCAAGAAATATCTGATACAACTATCTTTGGTCTCTGACATTTGGATCACAAAATGCTGGGGTATGCTGTTGACCGTAGACTAAAGAACATGCTCTTCATTTAAGCCATATCAAGCCTGCATCAGAGTCAAGCTTTTAGAGAGGTGGAGGCTGACAGTCCTTGCTTAAGATTTAGTTGTGTAACTCTTTGAAACCTATTTACTTTAAGAGGAATTTATGAAATCTTACAGTGGTTCTTACATAACCTCCCAAATCCTTTCTTTGCTCCTGGCTGTGACCAAAACACGTTTGCCTTAACTAGATTTTAAGAATTTTCCAGTTCCATTTTCCCTAATCAAAGTCCCTATCCTAAGGTATTTCACCTGACAACGAAATAAACTTTCCAAGAAGGCAAGAGAGCAAAACAGACACAGATTCCATGTTTAGGTCTTCCAGCTCCTATTAACTACAGTGATCATTGGGAGCCTTCAGATCTGCCTACTGTTGAAAGCCCCACTTCATTCTGTATCTTACAACCGAACAACATGGTAATTCAAACACACCATATTTTAAACCTTTCACATCTTCATAACCATCTAAATATTATGTGAAGCATGCAGCTGCCTCCCCCTACCCATGTCATCATGCTAGCAACTTGAAGAACCTCCACTTATTTATGGAATAACTCAACATTTCCCAGCTGGAGCTGCTTGTTGGGTGCCCCCCCCCCCCCCCCCCCCCCCCCCCCCCCCTGCCTAAATGAGAATCAGGAAGCAAGATTTTCTCACCTATTCGTAGGACTGATAAGCTTAAATTCTGCTCTCAATTACACAGGCACCCTAAATGAAAGCTGGGTTGGATTACTCTCTTTTTGCAGTAGAATCACTAAAAGCTAAAATATGTGTATTTTTCACTTTCAATCTCTCTGATGCGTTTTGTAAGAGAAGAAAAACTATTTGCCAAATGGCTCCAGACACAGTGTAAGCACTTTGATAATATTTCCCCCATTATTACAAGGAATTATTTGTCAATCATTTTTCATTAGGTCTTTTTTTTCTGTCTCTCACTACACATGCCTGAGATGGTTATTCAGTGATTCCTCAGTTATTCAGAAGCAGGACCTCACAGTGGAATGTTTTATCTTATTTCTTTGAAACAGCTCATTTTTCTCCTTGGTGGGGGGACTTCCCTTGATATCATGAAATACCAATGATTGTGCTGCTCCCTTTTAGGTCAATTATTAATAGATTTCTACCACCAGGTTACTGATGTTCCAGTAACAAGACATGGTCTAGCCATAACTTACCTGCTTATCTCATGAAGAAATTTATTCCTTTTCACATTTCTATAGAGTTTCTCCTTGCGAAGTTTAAAATATTTAATGGCAGCTAGATTAATTCATTCCATTTTGAGGCAATAGGGAAGAATTTAATGGAGGCATTAATAGGGAACAAATTTATAATGAGAGTATTTTCATATCGTATCAGAAGAACCTAAAAAATGCTTGCACTTCTTCTTACATGAAGCAGAGCCTGAGTTCACAGATTTCATTTGCTATATTAATTCCAGTTTATTAGCTTTTGATTATTTCCATATCCTGTAAAATCAAAAATTATTTTTGGTAATAATCAAAACCCACATCTACACTTTATGATTAATATATTCCCTGGAAAGCCTACTGCAACAACCTACTTTTATTTGTGAGCTTGCTAATACTTCACAACTCATCTCAGATACTGTTTCATCCCTGCCTGCCAGGATTGTTTAAATGCTTTTAATGTTATAAAGCTGTGTAAACTGGTAATTACTGAAACTTCCAACTAAATTATATTTGGAATAAAAAGATTATTCAGATTTTATGGATTTGCTTGTATGACCTCATAGTAAAATCTTTTGTTCCTGGTTCAACATGTTCTTTCACTCACATCATATTTTGCTACATGAAAATTTTTCTGCCCACTCCTCTGGGCTCAGTTATTTTCAAAATCATTTCCTTTAAACATGCATAAAAACAACTCTCAAATGTGAAATGTGACCTTTTTTGCTCTTTTTATACACCCTTCTACTGTCTTCTAAGAGGACACTGCTTAGACAGAAAGAGGCTAGGAAGTAGAAGATGGGGGGTTTTGCTTGTTTTATTTAGAAATTCAGAGCAGATATTGGCTGGAAGGCTATATACCACTCAAAAGATTAAGACATCCCAAATACTGAGCAAGTGAAATTTGATTAACAGACGAGAAGTGAGTTCTCATGGATTGCTTAGACTGCTTTGTTATATTTTTAATACTTATCTAACAACTGGAAGCAAATCTCCCTTTTCTAAAGATCTAACCGCTGCACTTTTCAATTAAATGCTGAGAAAGTTCACATTACAAAGTTCTTTGACAATACCACGCTAGAGCAGATATGCCACTCCTCATGGATAATAGAGAAACCTGCTAAAAACTTTCAGATCTTCTTCATACATCATAAAACAGTAACTATTAAAATCTCACCTCTTGCTCCTAGCCCTAAAAATGCAAACACTCTGTACATCAGAGAAAATCTGTCCTCACTGCTAGAGTAACTATATGCAGTCTCCCTTTTAAGCTTAAATTTAAGATCTGTAAGGTCCGGATCCTCACACTCCTTGGTTCTATAAAGAACACAAGCTATTGTGCTGGATGCTTTATTTTTTTTTATTTTTTTTTTAAACCCAACATTTTACTGCAGTGTCAAATGAAGTATCTAAGCATTCACTTCTGGAGCTCTGAGATACTTAAGTGGGTGGTTTTCCATACCAGGATATCAATTTATCGTGCTGTAAAATACTAGCTAACTAGAGAAGGATCTCTGGTGGATTCTTTAGTTTAATTAACCAAGTACAGGAGTGGAGTGTGAATATCATCTTGCTGACTCAGACACAAATGGTTTGCATCCTTCTCAGAAACTATTCTGGACATGAATCTTCTCAAAAGCCAGTAGCTTTACATCTTTTTGAAATTAACTACATGTTAACTACAGCTACCAATAACCTGTGTAACCCTGAAATGCCATTGTGAATTTTCAGATTTCAGAGGAGATCCTCTGAACTTAGTCTAAAACCAAGACAAAACTGTCCATAACACTTAAAATTCTGTCACAAAAATTTAAAGTAGGATGTCTTTTGTTCTTTCCTTTTTTTAAAAAAAAAAAAAAAAATAAAATCACACACAGCACTGGCTCAAAAGGGGAATGACAAGCTAATTTTCCTTTGTTCTTCTCTCAGCATTCGTGACTTTTCCACAGCTTTTATCCCTCTGTACTATGTGATAGTTTAAGCCTGGCCAGGACCAGAGATCATGTTGCTGTTGTCCCTCCCCCACCCTTAGAGTGCGTAGGGCACAAACCCCAGGTTAAAATAAGGAGAAATTTAATACAGCAGTGTAATAAACAATCTGAACAACAACAATAGCAATATTAACAACAATAAACAGTAATAACAGTGAACAAGACAAAAGATATACAGAGAAATACCGCAGTGAACACAACCAGCCCGCCGCGTGTGCTTCCCGTGACAAAAGCCACAAAGGAAAGCTCCCCACGCTGCCGGACCTGATGTCAGCATGGTATGAATAACCTGACTGGAGATCCCTTCCCCTTGCTTGGGAGAAACTTACCCCTATCCTAGCTGAACCAGGACAAGTAATATAGCTAGAGATAATTAGAAAGGTTTAAGTCACATTTTGGCTTTACTTTCTTCCAGGCTTTGTATAGAAAAACAAAGGGAAAAAAACAACAAAAAACCCCAACAATAAGCCAACACACACACCCCAAATAAAACCACACAAAAACCCCCAAAAACCTGAACAACCTGGTTACAGCAATTTATTAAAATTAAATAATATAATCAGTTCCCCAGTAGGCTTTTGCCTGCAAAGAAAATGTTTTCAAAATGAACTCTACTCAGACAAGCACTTTCACTAGCAACTCTTCCTTTGAGCCTCTTGACAGCCTGTGCTCCTCTGACTGGGTACATTTAGTGTAGCCCAGCAGCAGGAAGAGATCCTCTGTAACGCTTGGCAGAAAGGATTTAGATTACTATACTCATGAGTCCTAATCCAGCCCATCTGCCATATGTTTTGACGCTCCCATAAATCCTCTAACCTTTCATAAGTAGTCATTTTCATTTGGGTAAAAAGTGAGCACTGATTTAGATCAGATTTAACATCTTTCCTGCCTGCTAACAGTCAAATACCACCACTGCAATTTTAGTGTTTGTGACTGCAGAAACCTTTTTCATCTCCCTACCAAAATCTATCTGCATGACCCACCCACATTGCACGTTTCCCTTGCATTAAATCCTAATTCCTCACTCCATTATACTGCTCTTAAATAAGGCACTGAAGCAGATTTCTTGATTGGGCAGCCCCTGCCAAAGCTCAGTCATCACCTAGGCAGTATCCAAAGCATTTTCAAAAGACACTATTCTTTTAACCTCACCGTGTCCATTTCACAAAGAAGCATTAAATATGGCACATGGTTGAGACAGTCCAGATATCAAAATCACTAGGGGCTAACCACACATAAAATGTTATTTTTAGAACTCAGGAAATGCAGAAAAGAAAAGGGGTAATTCACCAGGCATTACTCACAGGAATTTCTTTTCCAATTTCAATCTCCTTGAAAGCATGTATGCTTCAGAACTAGGGCTTCCCAAATTAGTAAACCAGCTGCGAAATCACTAGACCAACAGTATCTTGTTTCCATGGTAGGTAGAGGCTCCTGGATCACAGCTCAGCCAAGTTTTAGCTGAACTAGAATTCAAAAAATGTGTCTCCACCAGGGATGCAACTATTTGCCACAACCCCTGCTGAGTCATAGTACTGAGCTGGAAGTGGCCTCTACAGCTCCCTCTCCACTTGCCCAGTTTGTTCCTGCTTGCATGACCCATTAAATGAGGTTCACTCATTTACACTGGT